GTCTTGCTCCTGTGCCGGATATGATTCCCTGTTCCGTGACGTCGCCTGAACTTTCGGTGATCGCTTAATAACGGAACACGACGGGGAAGAAGGCATGCAAACGGTTTATTTGCATCGTCAAATCCGGCTTCGATTCGACCGTTTGTGACAATGAATCCACAGTGACTAGCGTTTAGCAGCTGTGGACCGCGACAAACCTTCACACTCCAATTTATTCCGATTCTGACCTCCAGGAAGTTTGATTTCAGTTGCAAAGACATATTATTGGGAAACATCCTAATGAATTTCGGTCCAGAATTGATACTAACTTCACCTCTTTCGTTCTGAACTATTTTAACACCATTGATTCTAACAACAGACGATCCGTTTGTTCCGTGCTCAATATTAGCTTCCTCTGCTATTGCCCTTGCACGTTGTGTGACGATATCACTGCTCCTCTGTGAAGCGAACAGGAAGTCAACTGATAGGTCATTGCGCAGGTCAGAAAATTCGGGTTCTGTTTCTTCTATATCCTCGTAGTCAAATTTATAGCACTTGAAGTTGTTAGCGAATACAATAGCCTCCGCTTTCATCTTGACCTTCCTTTGCAGGAATACTTCAACTTCTACGGCTTCAAGGTCCTGTGTTACCCTCGCCGCTGGATGGAACACGTAGCTTTCTGTTCCTTGGCTGCTAATCAGTGCCACTAGTTTTTTCTTGTGGTTGACAGCACGGAGCACTTGATCTGTTGTCATTTCCACTGAGAAGTCATGACGCAACAGCACCGTAATGAGTCCAGCCTCGGACAAGTAAATTGCTGGATACCGGAAGTCTATCTGCTGATTTCCGTTCGAGGTGTTAGGGAATTGCAAGTGCTGATTGCTCGGGCCCGTTGTTTGATCTGTTTGTTGAAAAGATGACATATCATTTGGGTTCGCATTCGGTAACAAAATGTTTCTGGGATAAACTGGGTATGCAGGATGCCCTAGTCCATGTTGACAAAAATATGGTCTTTGCTGAAGTAGGTAGCCATTGTTTGTGCAGTGGTGTACAGGAAACATATAAGTCTCTCCATAGAAATGATTTGAATACGATGGATCGGTATTAAAGGCTGCAAGATGAGGTGGTCCATCATAGGTTAGGACCCCTGAATGAGATTCTGATGTTTGGTACGAATTATCAGCGTTGCTATACGCTGTATACTGGCCGTTACAATATTGCATGGGGACAAATGGTTCACACTCCGGATTAAGGGAAGAATTTGGAAACGACGACAGACTTTCATTTGTGCTTGTCGGTGTGGTGTCGATAGTTCCTTGTATATCCAGTATACCGGTATTCGAATTCATAATCGTTTCTACTGACTTTGGAACTTCGGTCTTTTCTATATCTGCGTCGACAGCTTGTTGTGTTTCAACTACGTCGGCCGACGTTTGGGGATCGTACCATGTTTCTGTGATTTCACTGGGGTTTTCACAAGGTGAGAACGATATATCAGCGTCTCCGTGTTGTCCTTTATAAGGTGGCTCGTAACAAGTACCTTGTATTTCATTTGTGTTCGCTAAGTCACCATCACTTTGCCGCGGTGTTCTATACAACGTCCTGTCATTATCCACAATGTTGAACTGGTTTATAAACCCATTCGTTGATTGACAATGACCTTCTGGTGTACGCTCCAAACTTTTTGTCTGGCCTTCGTGAAAATCTTTCGAAATTGGGGGATATTGAGATGCATCTGCAAAGTTGTCAGATATCGGATACTCAAATGCAATGTTAGAGCTTTGATCGGGGGTCGTGTAGCTGTTTTCATAGTCTTGTTGTGGATAGGGGACGTCGTTTGTACCCGACTTCCCGTATGATCCTTCATTGAACATTTCGGAAGCGGTATAAATAACTCTGTCGTGGTCACAATTTGTCGCAGTGGCACATATGACGCTTGGTCCACCGTCAAACGGGCTAAACACCGCACAAGAATCGTAATATTCTATCTCCCCGTCAAGATCTTCTAGCTCGGGAAGTCCTGGGTTGTCGGTAGGAATGTTCAGACGCGAAGTCACGGTGGTCGCCTCTGGTTGCTTTTGGATTTGGTTCGGTTGAATTCCCGCGTTATTAGTTAAAGAAACTGAACTGATCATGGGCCGTTCATCAGAAGAAACCATTTCCTCGGATTGAACCATTTCCAATATTTTGTCGAGAGTTTCACGAACTGCATTGTCAAACTCAACTTCTTCTTTAGTTTCAATGGCCAGTGAAAATCCGGAGACTTGGCGGTTTTCTGGACTGGTTTCCTCTTCTGCATCAACAAAAACATCCTTTCCTTCGTCATCTATCGTCGTATCTTCTGATGTTGATGTCACCGTATCGACATACTTGTCAGTATCGTCGCTGCTCTCGTTTGAATAATCATCGCATTTAGGTAAAGTCTGTGCTGAAGTGACCGCCTGACACGGTACGATGATGCAAATACCATCTGTATCTGTATCGCTATCTTCCTCAATGTCATCGTCAGTATTGTCTTTGATACCGACGACCATATCATTTATAATTTCAGATGCGATGCTGTAAGCTACCAAGTTAGTCTCATATGCGGTTGCCATCGTAAGGGTGCCGACTTCTGGAAAACTGTTTCCGCTGTCGCTAACCATCATGTTGACGTTGACTACGCACAGTATCTGTGACGTTTTTAACACAACTATTTCAGGAAAATGTAACGTCGACATTTGTGACGTCACAGACCATTGTTCAAAGATCCAGATAAGGTCATAGTTGATTAGAAAGGGTGGAGGGTTAAAGAATAATGCTTAAGAAATCAAAAGAGAGAACATTGATTAAATTACATGTATATCCAACTAGATAGAAAGGTTACGTAGCTATGAATCATCCGTATTTCTTTATTTACTTGTTCTTTAGTACTTAAAAATCAAAATCAGTAGTTCTGATATTTAATCATTGGTACTGATGTGATAAGTCTCCCATGTTTTCTGTTATTAAATCTAACGTTGCACACTTTCGTCTATCAAGAAAAGTCGCGAAAGCGAAACTTTCTTGTTATTTCCTTCTCGGGAAGATAATGTGTTTTGGGGTCGAATTTTCATGTTTTGAGAATCAATGGACTTTTTTATTTACATATGATGTTTAACAATATAATTACTGGTTTTATCTCCCCGAGAACATGTAAGAGTCATTTTGAGAAGGGTTCTCAAGTTGTTATTTGGTACCTCACTGAACAACATACGAGAGGTCCGTCGCATGCAATTAGGTTGAAGTGTCTTGCTCAAGGACACAACCACCCCAGTCTGTCGACGAGTAGCTGAGAAACGGACAATCTGTGCTGACGTGGCTGTGGACAATCGAAAAGTAATTAGCGCAGTTCTTGTGAGTAGATTTCAGAGGTTTTAAATACAAATTCTTTATTGAGGACTACTCTTTAGAAATAGAGATATATCTTATGTCAGCTAGGATAAATCAATGAATTTATGGAGGATGATCGACAGTCCTTCGGCTGTACAGTCACTGACACGACATGTGGAAATTATAAGGGCGACAACTCTTTCGTACTTATCATTGCTATTACTTTAGAAAACGGGAAACACTTGCTTCAGATTATGACATACCGTAATTATACAGCAAAAGAAATTCCATCGCTTCATTAAATGATGCCACTTACTCTCCGTGTGCCATGTGTGGTAACAATCATCAGATTTTTATAAACTGGTATATATGGAAACACATTGAAGAAATACTAGGTTAACATGTTTTTATCAAATACTCGTAAAATATATCATGTTTAACTTTTTAAAGTTTCATTTATTTTAATTTTTTTTATTTCATTTACCCTTTTCTTTTAATTTCTGAGTTTTTTTTACAATTTTATAGTTTGCATACTTTTTTTCTCTTTCCTATTGTCTTCTCATGTGTTTCCTCTTTCACTTTTATTCAATTATATGTTTAAGAGATGTATATTCTGAACTGATTGCTTGGTCCTAGGTTTGCAGTGTCAATGGCATGTTAACATAAAATTGTCAGTTTAACTATTTTTTTTATAATTTTAATTACTAGTGAATTCAGATTTATGACATGACCACGTATCTCCTGATACTTGGTTGTGGAGAAGAAAAGGTAAATTTTGTGACGCTTGAGAACATGGATAGCTCGGAGTCAAATGGAGCCAGAGTCCCAATAATGTCATTTCATTTTCTTAAGATTATGTCCGCCTATCAGGTAACAGAAATTTGTCATTTTTATAAAGATTCATAATACAATTATTTCAATGTGTGGTCAGTTATCGTGGTTTTTAAACAATATCTTTTATCAATATCTATACATGACAATTATCTTTTTTTTTTTTTAAGATTTGAAAACAAAACAGAAGCATCTAGAAATACATCTAATTTGAAATGTACGTTTATATGAAACTGTAATATTGTTTCTCTAATTAGTGTCGTAGATTAGACAATCTTATTACGATAAGAGTCATCTTTCACTTCATACGGATGTCGAATAAAAGTGACCCGTGATGCAACAAGCAGCCAAAGGTATATAAAATTCATTATTTCAATTTTGTTCCTGTGGCTGTAGTATACATGAACGTTAAAGTAGAATCTGTAACTAGGTCAAAGCAATTGTCAATATAAAATATTAATAAAAATATAGGCTTTCTGCTTGCTGAGTATTTAATATATACAAGAAATCTAATTCCTTTCATTTGTTCTTAATACATTAAAAATAGCTTATTCCGGTTCATCAATAATTATGATATTTGTTGGAAATTGTCTTTACAAAACTTCAGGGGTATCAACATTTAGAGTTATATTACTGATGCCGGCAGACAGTCTAGCTCAGTAGTGCGTTGAATCATGCAAGAGTTATGCGCCCTTGAATATACGAAACTAACCTCAGCTTGCCCCAAGCCGCTAACCCATTCAGCTGTTTATTGTACACAGCGTAGTAGGCTTGTGTATAGTAAAGGCCATGTGAGTATGTGAAAGTTCGAAAAAATATACCTCGTACATCGGGGAAAAATGGATACTGTTCTCAAATTAATGACGGGAATTATATTGGTGTGTTTCCCCAAATATGGACTGTTTGCCTCTTCGACAACGGGTAAGTGATTTGTGTATTGTGTTGATAACGGGGTGGGCTTCTGTCATGTTTTTGAATATTGATTGTTTTACTAACGGTACACGGTAAGCATGAGTCATGCACGCCAGAAACACGTATTGAACTATCGTTGTACTCATCAGGATACAATGATAATTCGTAAGAAAGTCGGGTAAAATCTGACTTAAGGCGAATTAAGATATTTTCTAGTTTCTCTTTGTGCAGATAGATACAAATTTGAACTTGCCTCACAGCGCTGCAGAGCATTTAACAGTTCAAGCTTAGATCATTTTAGAGCTCTAGAGAGACGTTGTATGAAGGAAGAAAAGGTTAGACGCGGAGGTTCTTATAAACATGTGTTGATAATTATCAGGAAATTATGGAACTTAAAATTGGAGAACAAGCATACTGAGAACCGTGGCACTAAAAAACAATTTAAAGAAAAAAATGGCGAAGTTCATTCAAGATCCATTGATAAAGGCCATAATAATAAGGACATATTGAATCAAATGGGGTATCTCAATGATTTTGTTTTCTTTCCCTTTTTTGTCTCAATTAATATAGTTGGACATATTTTCAGTACATCCCCAATAATTATGTATGATCCATGGATAACCTCATTTAGCATTTAGCTAACAATTTTGTTGTGGTAGACCCATAAAATATACCAGTGGATATGTGTAAGACTAGGTACTCATAGCCCATAATGCTAGGAACCTGTAAATCAGTGTTTTCCAAAACATCAAAAAATATCTTTCAGCTAGAAGAAAACATAGTTTATAAATGATTTTTTTTTTTCAAAATCCATCAGTTAAGATTCCTAAAACAGTTGAATTTGTTTTATCGGCATCCTCATCAACCACACCTAATAAATATATCTTTGACTGAAACATTTCTGACCCCAAATTTTGGGGTTTGGTGATGAAATTGAGTCAAGAATGTTTCTCATAATAAATTTTACTTTGGTAAATATATAGTTTTGAACACCCCAAGTCAACCCTCATTAACAAAGATTCTTGTGCTTTAAAGTCAAGATCTACTTGCTGTATAGATAAATGTGATCATTATTATGGGTTAGGTACCGTTATATGGATTTAAATAATTTCTGTGTTATCTTTTTAGGCGAGTCCAGAACACAAACCCATAATGCAAGTCCAATTACGAAGAAATATTGTTGGGTCTCAGAGTTTGAGAGTCCCACAAGAAAAGCATAGTGTTCAGTTTACAATTTATTTTCATGAACCCTTTTCAACTTTATTGTTAAAAAAATGGGTTCCTACAGTGTAAATATAAGTATTTCCAGAAATTATATGAGTCCCATTAAAATTGATGAGAACAGGACTCAAGACTCACATGTTGATTGATCATTGAAAACACGAGTCCAGGACTCAAATATATGAGTCCCAAAACACAGTGGATTTCCCTGATGAAGGGAAAACCTTTTATGAGTTCCTCATAAAACATTAACCTTTTGCATCTCAAGATCCAACCTTGCATTGATCATCAGAGAATTCTCTTTTCTGGGCTCTATGTAAATTTTCATAAACATATACTTTTACCATATATGCTATATAGATTGTAATCCAGGCTGGATTGTTGCTCAGTGATGCAGAAGTAGCACATTTTTTAACCATACTTTGGTGATTCATCTCACCTTTTTATAGCTTCTCAGTCGAGATCAATACACGTCACTCAGTATATATATGGTCACTGATTGCTAGACTATTGCTGACAGTACATGATGAGAAGACTCTCATGAAATTTTATCATCATGTAGCATGTTATTTAAGCCCACTTCCAGTGCAGTTGGAAGGTCACATATAATATATCTTCATCAACAAAAACCAAAAAATGTACACCCAATTTTGTTTTCATGTGGTTATGAACAGCTTTTTACTTCATTGGTAAATGTCTGAAAATTCATAGATTTGTTTGTGAATTGGTAACAAGGTTTTAAAGTTTCATCAAGGTTCATGAGACTGGAGACATAAGTAATAAGTCAAAGATGATATATTTATCTAATATTTATCATATAAATTACTCTTGCTGGCCTTGATGGAAGTGTGAGGAGTGCCCAGGAAAAGCCGTCACATAGGTGACCTGGTACCTTGAACATTCAGAGAATCGAACCCTGGACGTCTAGGTGTAAGCCAATTGTGTTACCACTGCATCACCAGGCCACATGATGATCTGACACAAACAATTCAGCAGTTATTGTGATCAGAGGGGATCAACATGTGACAATCTGTAATGAAACATAGCTCAAGTTGTATAAAGACAGTACATGTCAGTATCAGTAAGGCACAAGATTATTCTTCCATGCATGACATGTGTAACATGCCGTTATTACAAACAGTTCCCAGATGTGTTTTATGATAGACAGCCAGGCCAATTGAGGTGTAGGTTACAATCACATGGGGTCATGCATATGCCAACTAATTTTAACACTACATAGACAAATACAAAAACAAAGGAGAAAAAACAATACAATACTTTGGTTATTCAACATATTTGAAACCTAATGCTAGTTTTGTCACGAAAAACGTGAACTATCAAATTACTTTGTGGGAATATTGAAGTATTTTATATTTAAAGGATGACATGTTCATGATTCTAATCTCCAACTTGTACATGTACATGCAATTCCAGAGTGCACCATTTTGATTTGTAACTGTCACTGAATGAAAGTTTTTCATCTAGATCTGCAGCCCTTTCTTCTTGGTTTATTGTATGACAATGATGAGATGGTTATACAGCATTTGAACCTTGGCTGGGTGCACAGTAGGCCTAGGTTCAAATCCCTGCATACATGTATAGTTAAAATATTGTGTGTCATATAGTTGTCTTGTTTTAGAAATATTTTCTTAGCATCTCGTTTTATTTCTTCAGGAACTTAATACTTAATAAAATACTTGTTGATTGTTTTAGGATAAATACTTTAATATTGTAGGTAAGCTTTGTTGCTGATGTTGTTGACCAGCTTGTACATTACATGTCTACATTGTGTAAATCTTCAAGGTAATGAAAAACCAGTCTGTTAAGAATTCAGTATGTGATTGAATAAACAAAGTAGGGGCTGATCTATTGTAATCCGTTGAGAGATCAGACATACACACACAGACAGGTTTGGTGGGGCTGGAATAATCTTTTACCTGTGTCTGGTGACACTTGTTTTAAAGAAATAAAATAAAATTGTTGAGTCAATATTGACAACAGATTGGATGTTTGATCAAGTTACCGGTTTTAACTAATGGACAGTATAGAAAGTTTTGGATTTGATAAAACGTTACACAAGGTAATGTTTACTCTGATGTAATGCAGGTAAGGTAAGGTGTACCTAGACTCATAAACAACATGAAAATACTTGTATATTTATAAGCATTTTGATATCTTATGCTACTTATACCATGGCATGTGTATTTCAATATTGCAAATTTGTGAAATTCAGAGCATTTGTTGGATAAATAAAAAACATATGTATTTCAGACATTTGAATGAAACAGTTGTAGGAATGTATCAGATTGGAATAATTTTTGTGTAATTATTTAAATACCTGTAGGCTATGTATAAAATGATAAAATGTGTCACTGAACTGTTTCAAGCATCAAAATATCCTCCTCCTTTTGAAGTGGATGTTTATGATCAGGCAAAGAAACCGATGATAACAACAGCTTAAATCAAGTGTTCAATACCTAATCAGGTAAGGAGATTACAGGACAGTGACGATAACTACAAATGGGATTATGAAGTACCCTTTTTGAGATCATAATCCCTCTACATATTTTCTATTAAAAGATAGAAGAATGTGTAAAGATATAGATGAAATTAGAACTTTAAAGAGGAAAAAGAAATGGTTCTAAACGCTAGGATATGTAAGAAAAATGACAAGATCTGGATTTTATACACAGATGTTGAAGAGGTGTGTTTGTGAGACATAGTGTATTTGCCACAACAGCAATAACTACAGTGTAGCAGGTCCTTTCTTGTATTTTGAATTAAAATTTTTATTATGAAAGTTAATTTCCCATGACTGAAATTTCTCTGCATGATCAGTTGAGAATTTTACTGCTGAATTACAGATGGGATGTTCCCCAGGAATGTTTCACAAACCAACCACTCATAACTTCTGTCAAAGGCTTTTCTAATTTTCTGGAAAATTTGGTGTTCATGAGCGTGACAATTAATGGAACAGCAATTTTGTTTAATGGTGATTGTTTTGTTTGTTTTTATAACATAGCTTGCAGGAAGTGGATTGTATTTCATGTTTGAAAAAATCTGTTGGCAGAGATGTTCTTACTGGTAATGTTTTATCATGACAAAGCTTTTTGGCTGAGGACCATATGATGAGATTCTAAATTTCTGATTAGGAATTTTAATTATAATATTTATAAAAGAAATATTTTTTGGAGTACATTTTGCATGTACAAATAATATTATGTATATCAATACAAGTTTTCCAATTCTTTTTAGTGTGACTTCAACTTGAGCACATACAAATGCATTATTTTTCAATAATGACATTTTATTTTGAAAATTTAAATTTTAGTGATGGAATGTCTTTTTAAATAAAACACAATATGTGAGAAATTAGTCTCTTCATTATTACATTCTTTTAATTGTAATTTATCCATAAAGATTTGGATAAAAAATTATCGTTAAAAATATTCCTTTGAACCTCATCAGCTGATATATTAATTGTCAGAAAAAATAATTAAAAAATGGTGAGTAATGTGAGATTTTGATCAGAAACAATCTGTTGGGTGATGAGAGATTGTAATAGATTTGATGAAAACCTCTGATATGACACAACGTCAGGGTCATAACAACCTGAAGTCACGTGTTTCTAGCATTCAGATATAAGATGATCTAACCCCACTTGTTCTTTCTTTGTGTTCATAGCTATCCTGCTTGATACATCATCAAAATCATTTATTGATTTTTTTGGTCACATCGATCAGAGAAAAATGTTTTATCGAATGAATCTCGCATTATGTTTGCTATTG